TTAAACAGTGATAGAGAGTAATTGCTAGCTGGAACAAATAACAACTTTGTAATCTATCCAGGTTCTTGGAGGAGGGAAAGTAACACCACGCTGCACAACACTGAGGTGCTTTAAGCTGTTAGGTAGAGCCCTGTGCCCAGCAAGTTGTTGCATTTCAGTCGTCTGGTTTATAGCCACAGCTGCTCTGACAAGCAATGCTTCTTAGGAGCTGACTGCAACACATCTCGCCTCATCAAACCCACTAGTACTTCTATTGGTACTTCTCAGAACAAGCATCAAAGCTCAAGGACTGAATATTATGTTAAGTAGTTCAATATTGGATATAAAACAATGGTGTTGGTGCTGGGGAAAAAAAAATATGCAGATTATTTGAAGGGTTATACCAGCTGAGAGAAGTCACAGGCAATTGAGTGGGGGAGAATTCAATATTTGACTTTCTCATCTGCTGTATTTAATCACTTGATATAATATATAAGTCCTTGATCTTTGATATTTGGAGTACTGCATAAATTGTCAGATTTTTGAAGCATCCTTTTGCATCCAAAGGAATGTTAGGTAAAAAGGATCACTAATTCTCTGGCTAAATTAAATGCTAGAGGAAAACTCCAATAAAATAATGTAACTGTACTACACAATACAGGTATTTTCTAATATTTGATCTCCAGACACTTACATGTGCTTATACAACTCCTGATAATCCATTTGAAGTGAATCTTCAGAATGAAGCCACAATATTCAAAATCAGCCTCTTTTGTGCATTTGCTGTGACTGCTAAAATTGATAGTGATCTTCAGTGCCTCTGTCTAACTTAAAGCCTGCAAGATTTGTGTTTTCATCAATTTGTTGGCTTAGCGTGAGGTATGTTTTCATGGCAGATACAGATTTATTTAGAGGAAACAGACACCTGAATTGTCAAGTTATTTATATACTTTGCTGTTTTCCAAGTGCTATTGGGTATTTGAAAGACTCGAGTATTGCTCTCCAGGCTGTGCCAGGACATAGACTGAGAGAGGAATGCATGGCACTGGTGAAAACCTGGGGTTGGTGACATGAACCTGGTTCTCATTCTGCAATATTCCTCAGTCAGTGCCAGGAGCATGAGGCTGTCATTCCTTCTGTCCTGAGACAGGGAGCTGTCTGCCCCTGGCAAAGTCATGGATACTCTCTAACCTCAGCACTGGAAAAGGAGAGCTACTTCTTATTCAACCTGAAGTCTAAGAGGGTCAGATAAATGGTGGAGAGGAGCCTTTCACATCCCAATTCTTAGTCTGGATCAACAGACTTCCATCCAAGTTTGTTAATGTTGCTGCTCCTGGGGGCTGGCAGCAGTGGGTTGGGAGGGGAGAGGCTTTTTGGTTGGAGTTATAAAGAACAAGTGGTCACAGTGTCAATCTGCCCCCAGTTTTAGATCTCTGAACAGGGTGCAGACCAGGGGGCTAAAACATATGCTCATCATTATGAGCAGGATGACAGAACAGGCTGGGCTCAGCTCAGGCCATCCTGCCACCTTGAAGTCAGTGCCTGATCAATCCTGCTGCAGTTTTTTTTTTAGACATGAAGGAACCTTTCATCCCCTTAAGATTATTCTGACATTTTCTTTCCTGTGCATTTTTTTGGTTCACTGGTGGTCTTTGACTCAGCAGCTGCTTTAAGTTCCTTGTAGATATCTTTGCCACAGTCACACATTCAGACTCCTTCCTCAGCAGTGGCATTAACAGAGGATGTATAAAAGTTACTTCATATGTTCTGGACCTTCTTAATAGAGAGCTGACCCTGCCCAAGGGCAGGAAACTGAGCTGTGTGCACATTGGGTTGATGGTACTCTGTGTCCCACATGCCTTTTCAGCACAGTCAGACAACATTCCTTTCACACAGAGAACTAGGCCATTCCCATAGAAACATGTAAGACAAAGCTGTAGTTCACAGGGGTGCTGGATGCCTGCTCAAAGAGTTGCAGAACCAGAACTTGTCATGTTTCAGATGAAGGAGAAATCCTTAAAACAAACTGAGGAATCACAAGAAGTCTTTCACTCCATACCACCATGTTCCTCAGTGTTTCCACCTAAGGCTTGACTTCTTTAAGCTTAGTCAAACATGGGGTATTATACATCTGAACACCTTTTCTAGGGAGATAACAAAATGTGCAAACTCATAACTGAGATAGTAAGAATGCCTAGCTCAACTATTATGCAGATAAGAAAGAAGGCATCAGTGCAAATTCATTTCATTCTAATAATTAGATCCTGCTGACATTTTCTGTGGGAGTAAGTTGAGGAGAGCCAGTGATTCTAGCTGCTGTTCAGATACCAAGGAGGAATATGAAGTAATTGCATCTTGTCATAAAGAAAGCTGGCACAGAGCAATGCCTATTTCAGACATGACTTTATTTTCCAAAAGACTGTAAAGATTAACTTTATATCTGGCAAAAATCATTCTTTTTTAGGTTAACTTAATGGCTTTTGGGGGGGGGGGGGGGGGGGGCGTGTTGTTCCACTAGCTAATCAAGCTCCATGATACACCAAGATCAGGTCCTAACAACTTTCAGTAAGCCAGAGGGGAATGGGGAGCTTTGGTGAGGTAATTTAGAAGTTTTAAGTGGCAAGTTAAAGGCAGGAAGAGTGCTACATGGTGGTGGATACGTGTTTGCCAGGGGGCCATGCCTTTATGAGATTTCCCCTGCAAAATTTAAAAATACCTGTCTGCAGCAGGAGCCTGGCTGCAGCTTTCAATGGGGGCAGCCTACAGTCATGTCTCTCCAGGGACAGAATGACACTGGGACAATCACTCTCACAGTGATTGTCTGATCTGTGTCTGTATGATCAGGATATTGTCTGGTGGTTCCTGCATACAATTGTTTGCCAGGACTCCTGGCCCCCAGGTCTGTCCTTCACTCACTAGCCTGGCACACCACTGACTCACCTCTCTGCTTTCTTTCTACAAGGAAAAGTTCTCAAAAAGTGGTAGAACTTGTTCTTTGTAAGATAGCTGAGATCCATATGCAAAGACCCTTCACAGGGGCAAGGGTTTCGTTGTTCAAAACCTTAAAGATATTGTGCACGATGCTTTTATTTTCTTTTTTTTTTTTTTTTTTTTGGTGAAGCCATCAAAACTTACACTGTAAGCACTACACTATTACTATTCCTTGTAATACCTTAGTCAGATAGTGTGTTTAATTTGTTTGGATTAGGACCTTTCAGCAGAAGGAATCTGCTGGGAGTCTTTGCAAATCTGTGCAAGGACAATGCAAAGATAGTGGCTGGCAAATTAGGCTGGTAAATTAGGAAGTAGCTATATTTTCTTCATGTAGTTGCTAATTAAGTATGTCTTGTCTGTCCCAGATGCAACAACATTTCTCTTTGCAACTGTATTTTAACAGCAGAATTGTGGCACAAATCTTTTTTTCTTTTCTGTCTTTCTCTTTTCCTTTTCTTTCTATCTATGGATCGGAGAGCTGGGAACAAACAGAGGCATTGAGATGGTGATATGTAGCTTCACACAAAGAACTGGGGAACATGTCAGGAGGGAGGAAGAAGGCATCATCATGGATGCTCTCAGACTTTCCCATGCTCGAGCAGTGGAGATGTATTGTAAATGCAGGCGAACCCAATGGGAAAAAAATACCATGTCTGACTCAATTCAGAAGGCTGAATGATTTCTTTATTATAACTATGCTAAAATACATCAATATACTATATAAAAGGAGGATAATAAAATGACATACTACTTTCTCTGACTCTAACACAACTCATGACCCTCTCTGAGAGTCCAGCCCCAGGTGGGTTGGATTGGGTTGGGTTG